ATATATATATATATATATATATATATATATATTATATATATATATATATATATATATATATATATATATATATATATATATATATATATATATATATATATATATATATATATATATATATATAGTGTATACCTTATATATATATATATAGTGCATACCTCGGTCGCATGCCTGCGAACTGGCGATAAACTTGCAGGTGATCTGGAGTCGCTGTCTGATGGATTAAGAACATCGTAGCTAAAGTTAAGAAAGTATACATAACAGTTAATATACATAATGCACCTCAAGTTGATAAGTTGACGAGAGTCAGGATGCATTTTTAGAACGTCTTCAGCCAAAGCAAAAATATTAAATAATAAACAATGTACATGTACCTTCCCCGCGTAGTCGACATCGAGGTAACATCAGAGTCGGTGTCACAATGAAGTCTGGTAGAGCCCGATAAGGAAGATTCACCAAATTTACCTACGAAAAATATCATATACAACATATAACAATTCAAAAATTTGCTTGGTAGAGCACTAGAGGTAATATATCTCCATTAAGTCCAACGGAAAATGAAATTGAAAAAGTAAAAATCAAGCTGCGAGATTGCATTTCAATCTACAGAACTGCATGACTTTTGGAAAATTAAAAATCTGCTTCGTACCCAATGCGCTACATTTGCTTCAGGCTATATATATATAGGAATACATGAAGTATATTACAACTGGCAAGCGATGGGTTGGGTGCACCCAAGGCTCTTCTCAACAAGGCGGCTTCTCATCATACGCGGGTCTCGCTAGCCTGCACGCAGCCCGAAATTTCAGTTAGGGTTAGGGTGAGCTTTAATACTTTTAAAGGGAAGAATACAAATTTAAGTAATTTTGATCATGCAATATGAAATAAGTTTCGGGAAAACTAAGTCGAAACAACTTACCTGATGACCTCTCAGAGTGTCTGCTGGAACTGGTTCTAAGAATAACAATCGAGTTTATATTAAATGCTGTATTAGGTGATATTACCATCCCCATATACTTCGTCTGTGCAAACGGAAAACTAACATGTATATATATGCCTTTGAATGCATCCATATACCTTTGAAAAGAAGTTTCTTTCCTGAAGCTCCTTCTGGTCGCCTCCACTGCTTGGAACTGAGTCCTTCCCCTTAAAAACAACGAGATTCTTTAAACCTTTACTCATTGAAGCGACGCTTTCTTAACGATAGTACATCAGTTGAATTTATATTATAAGTCTGGTGGATTTCGTTCTGATATGAACGTGGAAAGAAATAAGTTTGAAATAAGAAGTAGGTCTGAAAAATTCTGAAACGGGCGTTACCAGCTGAAACGTCTTGATTTATCCGTTTGATATAAACTTATGTCGTTTGATATAAACTTATAAAACGGGAAAGTGACTCAATCTTTACGATCATTACGACCATATGGAAACCAGGCTTTACTTCTGAGCTAGCTGTTTAAACGTTGCATGGGTGTTTCTTTGCATATTGCAGAACACTGTAGGGTCGAACTCTGTCCTGACACTCACACAAAATACAAGCTGTACAGAGTTATACGGTATCAATGTAGTTCAATACGGCTGAAGTGAAAAACAGGCTTGAGCATGCGCAATATAAGAATTTTGCATATCTCACTTGATAAAACTAAATGTTGAAGTGTTTTTGTAGATGGGAATTTCGAATGAAAATTTTATACATTTTTTAGACCTAACATCGAGCAGCTGCGAAAAGTGGAACTATGGCCCTTTGGCAGGAAACGCGAACCTGCGGCTGGGGCCTAGCTGCGATTCCTGGGCAGCGCTAGCAATTTAACGTATTAGTTGATTAAATCGACAGTCGTAAAGCGAAGGCGAATGACATATACATATTTTAAAACTAATATTCAATATATGAAACTAAAAATTACAAACATACAAGTACACATGCTGATATTATTATAGAACCATGTCACTTACCTATATTTATACGTAGATCCAAACCGAATGAGTTTCGGTCGTTCCCTAAACCGATCTCGGTAATCCTTTCTGCAAGAGACGATAAAAATAACACATGTGTCAGTTAAACAGATATGAAGTTCGTGTGTTTCTAATGAATAATTAATCACCATGCAAAAATTGCGGTCAAACAAGACGGTTGGTCGGAATGCGTAATGAAGTGCTGTCAATCTTGAACTCTTATATATAGATGCCAAAATTAAAATTAAAAAAAAACACATTGTGCCAGTATTTATATAGTAAAGCCCGGATCAAACCCGGAGAGTGCACGAGGGTTGGAATATAATGCGACCTTGATTCAGTTGCTGTTCTTAATGTTTTCCCAACACTATCGTGTATTCTAAAGTTGATACATAGTTGGAACACTCGTCAAACCTTTATTTTGTTATAATTCAGAGCTTCAGAGAAATATCCCCCGTAATAATGCGTAAACACCGGGGCTTAATTCTGACAATGGAGACAACAACGTTATCTCAAGCTGGATTTGAACGAGCATCTTTGGATTTCTACTGAGATGGACGGCTGCTCTATCCATTGGCATCGAGCCAATGGGTATTAAAAGCGAGTTTTATACAATTTAATGCAGAATTTCTCGTTGTTCGAGAAGGTGACAGAATTAAACTGTTAGGTTTTTATAATTTTGAAGATAGTTCTGTAAGCAATAGAATTGGAACACTGCACGTCTTCCAACTTGAAGCCAAAAGTACAAATATTTTCGTGCACTTGAATTTGAATAAAACTTGTTTTCAATATCTGTTCACTCGATTTCTCAATGGGTAGATTATATGATTTCTAAACTGATTAAATGATGCTCCCATTATGCTTTGCACGCTTAGAGTTTAAGGTTTATGGTTTGCAAAGGGCAACCTTTTATGAATTGGCTGTATTAGTGCACAAAAAACGAGACAAACCATTGACGCAAAAGCCCGAACAATCCTACCTGTAAAATGTGTGATGTGCAACAGCACTTTTCCACAAAGCTTTACAGCTTTTTATAGACGGTAAGATGAATCCAACAATTGTTTTAGACTCGGGATCCTGTAAAAACGAAATTTTGGAAAAGGTGCTTTTACACGTTATACCGCGCGAGCTATATTTACATCCTCCAACCTCACTTACAGTACGTTGTCGTATATGCGTTGTGTGCTTGATTTACACAATACAACTCAAGTTGTGAGCAGGTTGCATGCGACCACAGATATCTTATATACACTAGATAGTGCATCTAATTATTCTGCAATTCAAAAATTGAAGCCGTGATTGCAGTCTCAGGTCGTTCCCATGAAATGAGAAGATTCGTATGTTTTCTATTTCTTAAACAGGGAACTTAAACATTAAGTTAACCCTATTCCAAATACGTTTTAAACTATTCAAATAATGAAAGTTATTGTTGTTTTTAAGCGTTTATTAGCAAGTGGGAACGACCAACATGGCCGCCATCTATTCAAATGGGGGTAACCGCTGGAATATTCCTGGCTTCAATTTTACTAAAAGAGATGCGCTATCTAGTGTATATAAGATATCTATGCATGCGACAGTTTAAGGCAAAAGTTGTGTAGTGTAAATCGACCTTTACGCGGTCTGTAATCCATTCCCTACGCGGCTCAGACAGTTGGCCTAGAGATTTTCTAAATTTCATTTTCTGACAGTGCTGATTCCTTGCTCCATTATAGACATAGTTTTAGAAATATTACATCAATGGAAATAGAACTACATCTTTTCAGAACTACAGTAAGGGAATTAGCTACTGTATTTCATAGGATGAAAGAGCTGTTATGTAGCTTTTCTATGATGTATCTTTTCTATTATGTACCTTTTTTAAATCGTAACGATGAGAAATGGCCACATACTCGTCAAATAAAAATTGCCGGTCGAAATCACATTCTTTCACCGTTGGGAATTGCATGGAAAACGAAACATAGACAATTCCCAAGAGGGAATAGGCAATTCCAGCTTTTAGTTTATGCCTGCAGAGGATGATGGTAAGTAAGGTATCATATTGCCGATTTTAATGCTGAAAAATTTCAATAAAAACTACCGAAACAACCGAAATATTTCAATATTTACAAGTATATAAGCTATCACTCCGTGTTTACACGGCCACAATTTTTATTTTTTCAGCATAATCACTTAATCAGCAATGTGATACGTTACTTCCCATCGTCCCCTGCACGCATAAACTAAAAGATGGAATTGCCAATTAAAGTTGAATGTTGAATTATCTAAAATGAGCTCAACTCGTCAATCTTCGTCTTAGACTTAGTGAGACAATAAGAACGTCCATTATTGCATTAAGCAAACATTAAGCATGGTTCAATTAACCACTGAACAGAGAACATTCGTAATCAAAACGTTTTACGAAACAAATACCTTGCAGCAGGCTCGCATTGCTTTTAGTTTTGGATTGATTAACTTTGCATAATTAATGTATTTTCAATTCCCAATGGTGGATAAATGTGATTTCGACCGGCAATTCTTATTTGACGAGTACGTGGCCAAAAGAGGTATCATAGAAAAGCTAAATAACAGCTCTTTCATCCTATGGCTATGTAAAAATTGAATTGTTTAGCTAAGTTTGTGATGCACGACAGCCTGTTGAATTTCCATAGCGTTTTTTTGAGACACCCTGCACAGCATATGCATATACTGCTAGTTTGGACTGATGTGAAAACTCTATTGGATTGAAAATACAGTCGGTTTGGGATCGCCAGCTATCATTCATCCCTAGTTATTCTCTCGAATAAGTATGTCAATACTTCGAGTTCACTGCTTCGTATCAACAATCATTATGACGTCATATTATATTTTCGGCAACTTTTATAAAACTCACCCTATCAACGTCAGGTAACAGCTGCACGTAAAAATGCTTTCGATTAAACAATACCTTCTCTATTCTTGACCTACATAAAACGAAACGGGATGAATAACGAAGTTTTAATATTGTCATTTTCTGTTTTAATTTCTATTTAATGTTATCAGCAAGCAATTAGTGTTTACTGCACAAACAATGTATTTCCTTCTTAAATTCTTAATGATAAAACTCAAAAAATCTCTTCTTAAAATTGGTGCACCAGAACGTATATAGAATATACTAGAAATTACTATCGCAAGGAAAGTGCTGCATCCCCAACCCCCCTTCCATCACATAAGCACCTAAAGCACCCCTAAGACACCTGTTCAGGAGGTACGAAAAGTGCAATTTGAATATGAAAACACTTTGCAATTTTAAAATTGGTGCACCAGAACGTATATAGAATATACTAGAAATGGTTGCGTGGTCTTCAGAGCAAGCGCCTGTCATCGCTGAGATCGTGGGTTCGATTCTCGCTACGGACTCGTGTTAAAAAGTCAGTCAACGATCTGCCGAAGATCGTAGGTTTTCTCCTGGTTTTCCGGTTTCCCCTCACAGGGGAAGTTGACAGGGTGCATGAGTTAGAATAAACACAGTTAAGACAGATTATTAGATAAGTTTTTAATTTTTATCTGTCAACAACAGCAAGCAAGCAAACGTTGCTTTTTTGAGGGTGACCGCGACGTGCTTGCTTACATTCTAGCATGAGCTTGGTATGTGTTCAAGCAAGCACGCTAATCCGCTGGTAATCTCCAAGCACAAGCGCTAGTGTGACCGCGGCCTAATATCACAATGACCCTAAAGGACTAGCAAATTGCTTCGCTCCAAAAATATAGTTAAAAGATGAACAATAAAGTACGTAATGTTGGAATGTCCCGCAACAAGACCTTTGGTAGGATAATTTTACTAATAACATATTCAGTAATTTCATCCTTTTCACTTTCTTTCAACCCTCATTTTTGTATTGTGTACTTCATTATAACTTCGTAATAATTTGTTTTCTCTGGTTTCACATATGTTCATGCAGTGCTCCTAAACTCTCCTGCATTCTAGTTTCACTCTGCAAACTCTATCTACACCCTCTTAAAAAAACCCTGCTGAAGAAGACTGTTAGGTCGAAACGCGTACAGGGTTGCCTTTCCTATTCCAATTCAATCTCTCGCTCTTATATATCCTCGCCCTCATCGTGTCACATAAAATTCACATATTCAGTTACTATCTAATCGTAGTTTCCCTTGTTTTTTGCCTACATGTTCACCATCACAGGAGTCGGAGTTAATAAATAAATAAAGGATATCCATTTGAACTACTGGTCCTCATTATTTAGGCTACACAATGTCTTACACCAGTACTTGTCCAATTACCTATTTCATACCAATGAAAAAAACAACTCTTATATATACGTCTGTTATAAGTGTTATTTCTTTATATAAAGATTACTGTATTATTATAATTAGGTAAGCGGATCGAATACTTGATGTAAAGCGCATTTGATCACATGCACATGTAAATTTGCGCTATCTTAATGGGTGATTCCAGCTATATACTAAATTTTGATCAAGGCAAGAAGAACGAAATCCAACACAACAGCTAGAAAGAGCGTCTTAGAATGAGTAAAACTGCAAAGATTGGTTGCTAAATGTTGTAAAATGAAGAAAATATAGCCTTTTGAAGTTCGCAAATTTTGTATATATATATTTGTGATACGTGCATGCATGCGGTAAAATAACCACTTTAATTCGGCTAAAAAATGGCTATTTTTCCCGCGCGAAATGCAAACATATACAAAATTTGCAACTTCACAGGGCTATATATTTTCCTCATTTTATAACAATTCGCAACTAAACTTTGCAATTTTACTCATTTTATAAGATGTTCTTTCCAGCTATGGTAATGTACTAATGGATTCGTTCTACTTGTCTAGATCAAAATTTCGTCCATAGCCGGAATCACCATTAATAATGGTAAATTTGTTATTCCTATAATGCTAGTGTTACTGATACAGTAGGTCTACATGCAATAATCTTACCAAGCAAAGATATTAAGTCTTTTATTATCGCGGTAAATTTTTATCCCCTCAGAACATACAATAACCTCGATATCATAGCCTTCAGCATCCTGTATATATGAAAGATACGTAACCGTAAGTCAAATTGATCATGCTTGATTTATTTTAGTTATTTTTTGAAACAGGAAATATTACAATTTTGGAACAAACTCTTAAAGGTAGATGGAAGCTAGGGGTATATACCAATCATCTTTCAATAGCATGTGAAGAACGCAATTCAAACGTGACCAAGTCGAAACCATTAAGTCAAAGCGGGGCAGTGACACATCTACAGTAACTATACACCCTCAACCATGTATATACTGTATACTCCAAAACAGATCTGCACGAATTGTAACAAACGTGACAAATGATGCAGATCATACTATTGCTTTACGTGCATAAGACCGAAATAACAAACTACGAACTTCGAGGCATATCAACTTGACTTCTCTCTGTTATACCAAAGCCAGGGCCGTAGCGACCGGGGGGGAGGGTGCAAAACCCCCTAATTATTGCTCATGAGCAATTTCAGGTAGATTCCCAGTATATTTTCAGGTAAATTCAGGTAGATTTCCAGTATATTTTTAGGTAAATTCAGGTAATTCTCAGGGGATAAGAAAGTGAATTGGGAAAAATAACTATATCTGTGCAAAAGTACTTTTGTATTTTTTATAAAAATGAAGATATGTCCGGAAAAATTTTTGTCTGTTGGCGATGGTTTTTGGTATGTCCGGAAAATTTTTTGCGACGACCTCCAATTTTGGGAAAAAAATATTAATAATCAGGTAAAAACATTAAATTGGATAATTTCAGGTAAATCTAACCTCACACCCGCCCAAAGACAAAGTCCTCGCAACGGCCCTGACCAAAGCCTCGTACAAATAGTATGAAAAGAGTTCGATGGGGCATCCGTATGGAACTCACTACCAAAAGAAATAAGGGAAAACAAATCTCTCTTATTTTTAAAACAAAATTGCCACTCACACCTTTGATGTAACAATTAATACAGTAACGTAATGGTTGTGAATAGACCAATACACAATGTAGGACAAAGTCTTTGTTTATATAATTAGCAACAAAAACAAACGAATTTTCGAGGACGTTATTTGCGAAATAGTGAGGAATTTCCGGAAGTCGATTTGGAGCAAGTCTAGGGTTCAATAAACATAGTTGGGATAAACTAAATGTTATAATACAAATTCCTTACTCCACGGGCTTTACCTTGGCTTTTTGTACTTCAGAACCATAAAGTTCAAGTCTCTTTGCGATTTCCAAGAACTTTAATTCAGCCTGAGCTGGGCTAAGTCCCCTGTATAAAGACATTTCAGAAATACTGTTCAATAACTTAGAAACCTACAATAGCCCAACAACGTATTAGTGATGTACAAACACAGACAGGTCGTTGACCAAAATACATTGTTGCTTAGTAACTAAATGATGCGTCGTTTGCCGGAAAGTAAAATTAAGCTTTGACAAATTAAACGTTCGGTAAATTGCTCGCACATACATTAAAACGAGATTGTGTGACAAATGTTTGCCAATTTTTCTTTCACGTTGTCTTTGTTGTTGCCATTGTTGGTGTTATTTTGGTTGTTTCTATCACTGCATGTAATTGTAACCATTGTTTTTTTGCTTTGTTATTTTATTCTTGTGCTTAATATTGCTTCTGCTTATTGATGCTGTTGTTGCTGTTGTTGTTGCTGTTGCCGCCGTTGCTGCCGCTGTTTTCGTTGTTGCTGTTGCTGCTGTTGTTGTTAATTGTTGTTGCTCCTGTTGTTGTTGCTGTTGTTAGTGTTGTTGTTGCTGCTATTGTTGTTGTTGTTGTTAGTGTTGTTGTTGCTGCTATTGTTGTTGTTGTTGTTGTTGTTGTTGTTGTTGATGTTGTTGTTGTTGCTGTTGTTGTTGTTGTTGTTGTTGCTGTTGTTGTTGTTGTTGTTGATGATGTTGTTAATTGCTGTTGCTAATTGTTGTTGTTGTTGGATGTGCTGGTTGTTATTGCTATTCTTCTTGTTGTAATTGAAATTGTTGATAATGATAATGATAATTGCTTTTGTATTTGTTTGTTTGTTTGTTTGTGGAAAACATTATATGATTATTATTATTGCAAAGCTTTGGATCCGTAAGCACTGATGAAAATCTGGACTGACGGATCAAAAGCTTTGCAATAATAAATAATCGTGGCTGTTTTCCACCAACCGAAATAAACATTTAATTGACATGCAAACTTAAAAAAAAATTTAATGATTGTTTGTGCTATTTCACACGATAATTATCAAGTGATAAAGTTTTAAAGATATACTCACACATTCTCTTTGTGATAGTGGAATACTCGCTCCTCAAATTCAGGTGTCTAAAAAATAATCAATGGCAAAATTATAAACAGTTTGTTGCACTTTCTGTAGTTCTGTTAATATAACTTATTACAGTAAATTACAATTACATCGATCTACATGAACTAAATCAGGCTCTGCTCTCACGGTAGTAAACCCTATACAACCTCCTGGAATTGGTAATAACAACATACATTACAAACCTGGTTGGGAACTAACTGATAGTCGCTGATGTATTGATCAGGCTGGTTATTCGGATAGTCACCAGCTTCAGCTGCATGCAGAAAGAAAGTTAAATAAGAGGTTATTGATATATGGCGAATTTTACTGAGAGACTGATGATCCGTCTGGACGAACTTCGACAAAGAAAATATATATTATATATATATGCATAATTCGTCTGTACAGGCGAACTAACCCTGAATGGATTAAAATTTAACTTGGTGTTTTGATTTGTGTATTTTAAGACAGTGCATTCCAAACTTATGAAAGTAAATCTTCTATTGACCAAGAAAAAAATTTCTGGAAAAATATTTCCAAGTGTATATATAAACAATCTGTTGCGAATTTTCATTAACCCTCCAAGATCATTAAAAATAATAAGTACTTACACTGAACTATTAATGAAGACAGCTCAGCAGCGGTTTCTTTAGGACAAGACAACCTAATTGAAATATTCAGGAAGTCAATGTACAGTGATTATATAGCTTGACTTCAATTAAGGGGTGGACCATTAGAAAAGTGAAGGCGGGGTGGAGGAAAACAGAAAAACGGAGACTGCTGTGGAACAATCAACACGCACAAGGTTTTATTCTATTTATTTAACTTCGCCTTGAAAAAAAAAACCCGTACACAATACAAGTACAACAATCCATATACATGAGACAGAACAAGAGGCGGGGACACCACAACAGTTTACATCAATCACTGTGGGCCCTTTAGTAAAAATTGGTGACAAATTACAGACAAAAAATTAGTCTATAGTAGTCTAGTAGAAACACGGATCGGCATCGATTAGATTGCGCGATGTGTTGCAGTTCAGGCAAACAGTTTTCCAGATTCGAGCATCGTATGCATCCACGTCGTAACAAGATATAAGAGCATTGTGGTAGTATTCTAATAGTGACTTTTTAAATAATGTTAGCGATGTTTAAGTGTTCGGGTAAAGAGTTCCAGGTTCTACATAGTTGCTCTAATAAAAAATGACCGTTGATAGGTGCATGGCTGTCTTACATCTACGAGGACGGTACGAGATAACACTGTTATTTGAAGATGATCGAGTAGGCCTTGAGGGAATAGATCGTTTTGGCAAGATTTCCTTCGGATTTCGGAACAGTTATAATACCATTTATGGCCTTAAAAAAGAACATCAAGTCAAGATATTCAACTAACTCAAGTGATTTATAGACATCAGTCTGTCTTTGTAGGATTCTGTACAGATGAAGGGCAGCTTAAGGATGAATTTTGAAGGTCGGCGTTGAACGCGCTCTATCTTTCTGACTAGTTCAATGGACTGTGGTGACCAGACTTGGGTGGCGTAGCCTAATGCAGGATGCACAATTGCAAGGAAGAGCGTGCGGCGGGTGTTTGGATTTTTAATTTCCAAAGCAGATCTGCGCAGGAAACCAGGCAAGTTGTTAGCCTTTGCACAACGGTCAAAGGTGTGTTTTGACCAGGTAAACGCACCAGTAACCCATATACCTAGGTCTTTCTCTTCCAATGAAATGTCCAGTGTTTTGCTCTTTATCTTGTAGGAGAAATGTTAGTATCATCTGCGAAAGATGAAACCTTGGAGTTCTTTACTGCATCTAATATAAAACCCTGTGGCAATCCTGACAATACAGGTTTTTCAGAGGTGGTGGCGCCTAGCACAGTAACACGTTGCCTATACGGTCTAACAAGTAGGTCCTGAAGCAACAAAGCAAGTTACCAGAAATGTTCAAGCAGTTGTTTAGCTTGTTGAGTACAGGGTTTCATGATTAATTTTGTCGAAGGCTTTTGACATGTCCATATAGATAACATCTGTTTGCTTACCAGCATCCAGCAAGGACGCAATGTAATCGTGTACCGCTAATAGTTGGGTTGTACACGATTTTTCCACAGCTGAGTGATCTATTAAAAAGCTTGGTCAGTAATGGTGCAATTGTGCAGTCTCTTTGAGAAGTCGAGGAGGAATGCCGTCGGGATCTGTGGGCTTGTTGGGGTCGAGAGCTAGAAGTGTATTTAGAACTTTCTTGGTTGTTTTTAAGGAAGCGTGGTCGTGGTTTTTGCTATGTTGATAGATGGAACGGGTCTATAGACACTATGTATAAATGATAAGATGGTTACATCTCCACCTGACCCAATACTTAATTAAACCATGTTTCGTGTTATGCATTGATCACTCAGGCATAGGTGTCATCATTCTATCAAGTCTACGTTCACACGGGGCTGGATGAATTCGGAACCGCACTCAAATGTACGGTTTCGAATTCATCCGGCTCCGTGTGAACGGGGCCAAAAAGAGATGATGACACCATATTTGCCTGAAATGCACAATATATATGTATATTTTCACCTGATGAATACAGGATTCACAAATAAGTTAAATAACCATACTATTAATAGAGATGACGGTACTTATAAGCTTAAATAATATCTACATATTGTATCTTCACTTTGCCGGCGGACGAGATCAGCATCTCTCGAGACTACAGTATAATGAGACACTTCAAAAATGCTTGAACAATATCACACTTGACTCGAGTGGCTAGTATATTAACTACCTACTTGACATCATTTTCTGACCAAAATAGGAAAAAGGAACTTTTGTCTGTATCCTTAAGACAAGTGTATGTCACAATTACATATATTAGTTTGTCAGCAGGATAATGCGCGCGAAATAAACGAAATAAATTGCCTCTTTTATACCTTTTATACTCTTTTATATATTTTTTATACCTTAGACTATGTTTTATTCATCATCAGGGATCATGATGATGATGAATTAAAACATTGTCGAAAGGTAGAACTATATTTAAAAGTTCCTTCGCTGAGTTACCGTTAATTTGTATTCCTGTTTTTAATTTCCTGACTTCCTGAGGCTGCTCCATTTACGGCTATTAGTAAAACACGGAGCACGGAGCACGGAGCACGGAGCACACGGAGCACGGAGCACACGGAGTACGGAGCACACGGAGCACGGAGCACACGAAGTACGGAGCAGTAGAAAAACGAAAATCCTTTATAATAAAATACACTGTTTACTATTACAATTTTTTGTTATTAATTAACAAAGTTTTTTTCGCGTATTACACGTTGGGGAAGTAGGAAAATGGGGCTTTTACTGAAAAACACATATGATGCAAAACCAGGCTGCCAAAAGCCATAGTATTTAAAATGGGATTGTGAAACTCGTTATCTTACATCTATCAAGCTTATGTAGTTATATTATATTCCGATGGGCAACACATAAAGAAACACTTGCTGTAGAGAACAGCCGATATATTTCGTTACCCCTGCCAAAAAATAGCCAAGTATACTCATCTTTCAATGTAGCGGATCGACTGAACATTAAGTCTTGTGATGAGAAAAGTGAATTTTCGGTTTATCCTTCGGCTCAGTGACCGGTGGCAGTGAGTTGTACGGCCGGCTAAGTTTAAACCGTTATACAGTACATCATTACTGCTTTCATTCTTTCAATCAGTCGTTTTGAATATTCGGAATCATTCACAATATTATAAAACTGTATAAGATAGCTGTAGAACTATAAATGCTGTAGAATGAAATAAATAAAGAAAAGTAAGTTTTCAAATCGCGGTATTTGCCGATAAATCGGTAATCGCTACAGAAAAACAGAACAAATTACAGTATTAAAATCACAACAAACCGCGGAAGTGGGACAATTTTTGTATTTTTGTAAGACATGTAGAACATGTACGAAATCCATACAGAAGTGTGTGTGTATTCTATACTTTTGAAACAACTAAATCAGACTTCGGAAAATTTGACCGTATTAAAGCTGCTTTAGGGAATTTAGATTTTAGGTCTTCGTTTTACATGTACCCAGACCAGTAAATATTTTCGAGTTTTGAATTTTGTGTATAAATCAACACCAACGCCTCAAAGGCGAAAAGGAGGGCAAGATTGTTAGAATTGCTATTGTAAACATGAGCAGTTTCGAGCATAAACATAAAATTGAAACGAGTAATTTTTACACATCTGATTGACTAAATTCAGGAAGCCATTTAAGTGTACGCGTATTTGTTACAATTCCGATCAACTCTGCCGTGCTGGCAGAGCCAGAGGCAGAGTAAATTGTAAACAAATTGTAAGCTTGTGGGAATCAAACTTCAAAACTCAAAAATATTTACTGGGTACATGTAAAACAAAGACCTAAAATCTAAATTCTCAAAAGTAGCTTTAATACTGTCAAATTTTCCGAAGTCTGATTTAGTTGTTTCAAAAGTATAGAATACACACACACTTCTGTATGGATTTCGTACATGTTCTGCATATGTCTTACAGTAAAAATACAAAAATTGTCCCACTTCCGCGGTTTGTTGTGATTTTAATACTGTAATTTGTTCTGTTTTTCTGTAGCGATTACCGATTTATCGGCAAATACCGCGATTTGAAAACTTACTTTTCTTTATTTATTTCATTCTACAGCATTTATAGTTCTACAGCTATCTTATACAGTTTTCGGCTGTTCTCTACAGTAAGTGTTTCTTTATGTGTTGCCCATCGGAATATAATATAACTACATAAGCTTGATAGGTGTAAGATAACGAGTTTCACAATCCCATTTTAAATACTATGGCTTTTGGCAGCCTGGTTTTGCATCATATGTGTTTTTCAGTAAAAGCCCCATTTTCCTGCTTCCCCAACGTGTAATACGCGAAAAAAACTTTGTTAATAATAACAAAAAATTGTAATAGTAAACAGTGTATTTTATTATAAAGGATTTTCGTTTTTCTACTGCTCCGTACTTCGTGTGCTCCGTGCTCCGTGTGCTCCGTACTCCGTGTGCTCCGTGCTCCGTGCTCCGTGTTTTACTAATAGCCTCCATTTACTGTTCGGAGTACTCCGGATTTTCGGAACACTAATTGAATCGAGCGAAAACGATCACATGACTGTTCTGACTGCCCCTACTCAAAAGTAGGGGCAGCCAGAACAGTCATGTGACCGTCAGAACAGTCATGTGACCGTCAGAACAGTCATGTGACTATTATTGGTTCGATTTAATTAGTGTTTCGAAAATCCGGAGTACTCCGAACAGTAAATGGAACAGCCTCCCTGTTCTGTTCTGAGCGTCGGTGGATTATTTATGTTAAGGCCCATCTACACGATACGACTAGTCGTATACGATTCTTATCCTGGTGTATGAAAACGATTGCCGACGCCACTACTCTTGCTCATCAGTTCATGGCGAAGTTTGAAATGTGACATCTTTACACGCATTTATTCGAGTACAGACGCCAGGATAAGAATCATATACGACAAGTCGTATCGTGTACGTGGGCCGTTAGCCAATTATAAATTTATAATGCACATAACAAAACAGGGAGTTAGGAACTTGTGATAATAGGACGCTAAGAAATTCTAACAGGATCTGAGGAAAATTTAACATTTCAGGGTTAATTACAAGTAGGGTTAAGATAGGTTAAAATGTATATACTTGGGGGGATGGTGTGTGACCTCGACATGGAAGAAAGTATTGCACGCAAGATATTAGTAAATTAAGTTGGTCAAATTACCTTCCATTCTTTAAATCTTTCTTTATGTTTAAAAACATGTGATACCTAAAAGTCATAATGAGTAAAATAAGTCAATGATTCCTTTCTTTATACAGTACTGACAGTTCTGAAATTTTAACCCATATTACGTAAAAGGAAATTGTTTGTATTTATTTGCTCAATATACTCCTCCCTCTCTCCTCCGCAGAGACACCGTAAGTATTTACAAATAACTTACATGAAGTTTTCAGAAAAAGTAAAGTGGGCGCGCGGGGTGTGATGGGAAGATCGAAATAGCTCAATTTAACCGAACTAAAAACGTCATGTGAGCCTCTGCGGAGGAGAGAGTTCCTCCTTTCAACTTGCTCTGATATTACTGAACATTCTCACTTTACTAACGACTATACGTGCGAAAATTATCTTGCGCAAATGTTTCTATAAATTTTTATCCTAACTTACACTCTACAATATATTTTACATTGTTCTTGTACATCTAAACACACACCAATGGTATGTCCATGTACTGCACTACAGGTATGCGTAAAAAAATAACAATCAAATTTAACCTGGTTAAGTCTTCAGCGACTCTTGAAGGCTCCGTGGGAAAAAAACGCACAGCAAAACAAAATTTGTATGGTTGCACTAATCCTATAGGAAGAAACAATGACACCAAATTACAGAAGATCTCGTTCAGACGACGGACGTGAAAGTCGCTGTACTGTATTGCGTAGCCTCGCCCACGCGGGCCGCTCGACCTATACAAGTCACGTGTCACCATGGAGTGCATGCTATGGCCAGCATATTCTCTTCTTTCGTATGGTGATATACATCATACGACCACCCACGAATCTATGATGTATACAGTGTACCTTCTTATTTGTGCGATCTGACCCTCGCCCCACACACTGACCGAAGAACCCCTGACCCTACGCGGGGGGTGTCCAGTTGTACATGTCCAAAAATCGTCGCCCGTCCCGCGCGGGCAGACAGTGAGATGCAAGAATACTGTACGATAATTGAAGAATAAACGAACTTTGACACTTGGTATATAATCAGTCTTCCCATAGTTTATACCATACTATTACAGTACCTTTCAGTTGTCTCTTAATAACCTTATCATGCTCTAACCATTCCTAAAGACAAAGTAATTATCATCAACTTAAGAGTTCCTTACTTTTATTTTTTAATAATATACTTCAACAATACTTCAGTCCAATGTCTATTAATTTTACAGATCTTGGACGCAGGAAACTGGTTATAGGGAAAGTTTTATGCTTGGTTTTACGTGTAATATTATTGAGTTATCCTATATGGTGACAAGTGTACTATTTCCTAGAAATTTCACCACTCCAAGAAACTAAAACCCCCAAACCGCATCCGCTATACAGTACCTCCACAATAAAAAATTAGCTGAGCCAAACTCAGTAGCTAAGCTATCCGTTTTCCATAATAACCGTCGCTTTGCCCGCGCCGGCCGAACGACTTGTACAATTCAGATATGTAATTATTTGTGCGTGCACGCCAAGTAATTTGATTGTAGTTCATCTTCCATGGGTATTTATGACTGAAAGCAGAGTTACAGTATTACAGGGAGAATTAAGTCGAAGAGAATTAAGTCGAAGAGTTAAGATTTCGGAGAGTTAAGTTCGAGCACGCCCACCTTTTTCCAGCGACCACACCCAGTTTCTTAACTCTCCCGATCTTTCAACTAACATGAGAGAGTTAAATTTGACGGAACTCTCAAACGTTATGAGAGAGTTAAAATATTTGCAACTCTCTAGCTGTTGTTGTGAGGCGAGCGTCGGGTTTTTAAATTAACGGTTAACAGCATCAATATAAATGCTAAGACTAGACTGGAAGAGAAAAAAACTCAAGTCTTACCAGCTTTTTACTGAAATACTCAATAGCGAAATTTCTAAAAGTCCCTATCCCTAAGCTAAGTTCTGCAAAATATGAACGGTGTTAACTTGCAATAAAAATCCGACTATAACTCTCGCCTCACTGCCCAACCTAGCCTAAGATGCAGAGAGTTACATACATGTGAATTCTCTCAAAAGTTTCCGCGTTTTTGACAGAAGAGAATTAATTAGGTCAAATTTAACTCTCTCGCGTTAGTTGAAAGTCGGAAGAGTTGAGCAATTGGGTGTGGTCACCGGAAAAAAGTGGGCGTGGCTCAACTCTCCGAAATCTTAACTCTCTGATATAACTCTCCCTGTAAAAACTCTTCGTTTAGCCGTTCCCAACTTTCATGGCGTGCACGCGAGAGCTAAAGCGGACTGATATCTGACAAGCTGACAGCTACGGCACATGTTCAAAAACGTTCGCTTGGCCCGCGCGGACAAAGCGACCGAAATGGAAAACGGCCTTAAGGTACACTAGTGACAAATTTTATTGTAATCTATACTTACAGGTTTAGAAGAGGATCCGCGACAAAACTGTAAGCCAAAATAATCCGGTTCAGCCAGGTTCAGTTCATTAATTATCTTTTTAAACAGCACACCTCCGCTGGAACGACTCTGTTAAAGAAAATGTAGAACTAACAACTACAATATAATTCAACAGGTTTCGTAGAGAAGTTATAGTGAGCTGATATGATGGAGATTTATAATGATCGAGAACAATCTCACAACATCAGAATAATCAAGGTTGTATGGATAAGAAACAGTTTAATTGTTAGATGCCTAATATCCGTCACTGTCCAAATATGGCTCGCATTCTAAACCAAACAGGAGTCAGGATGGCTCGTCAAATATATCACGGCGTTTGACAAATACAACGGCGACTTGAATGAAGGCGTCTTGATAGACAATAGCAGTTTCACTCCAGGAGATTAACAAATAATTTGTACTCCCCTGTCCCCTTGTTCGAACCACCACATTAGAGAGGTTCAAACTTGACTTCCATGCACTACCGCTCACAGGCTCAATGCGCATTTGATTGGTGAAACGGGTAGATTAAATTAATTTGATTGGTTAATGCAATAATACAATACAATACAATTTTTATTCACATTCTCTTACAGAACAAGTTACAAGTTAATGAATATTCTATTATTTTGGTGGTTTTTTTAGTAATAATCTTCAAAAGTAATACTAGAATATAATGTTTGTGGAACGAAATGCCTAGAGTCTAAATTAACCGAAAGGTTTTCTAGTTAGGCTCTAGATAGATAGAGTATCAGTAAACGTAGCTTAGCATCGTATTTGGTAATAACATACATAGACAATAAAGACAATTAAAGATAAACACAAAAATACATCTAACAAAACGGTTGAGTATGAATATCTAGACTTCAAAAGTCATTTTGTTTGAGTAATAGGTATTGTTTTAGCTTTTTATTGAAGGTATAGCTATTTAATTGTTTGAGGTCAAAGGGTAAATGTTGCCATTCGCTTGTTGCCATTGCTGATATTGTTTGTTTCCCAGTATTTGTTCTAAAACAGGGTTTATAAAGATTATTTTTTGAGGCATATCTGGTGTTATATGTGTGAACATTTTTGGCATAGAGAAAGCAGGAATTGAAAATCGACGGAAGTTGCTGATTTTGCCAGTTGTGAATAAATTTCAATATATTCAATTTATATATATATATATGGTAACGGTAGCGGCAGTCAAAATAACTTCTTTGAAAGTCGTTTGGGTGGTTTTCATCAATTCAGTGAGTAGTACATCCAGACTTGTTTAAAATAATGATAAACACTATTGAGATAGTAATTCATGCAATTGCTCGAATACAAAATTGTATGTAATTTCCCCTGCCACAGCCACCTTAACCTGCCAAAGTCGTTATCCTCTTTTACGAAAACAGAGGCACTACAACGTACAGTATGATAGGCACTTCTAAGACAACATTCTGAAACAAATGAGATTTGCAGAGAGATTCGCAAAGACACATCGAGAGAAGGTTTGTATGAAAGAGCGAACCTCTTTAGCCGCGATCTCTAGTGCGATTTTCTTCTTCTGATGCATGCGAATGAGTAGATGGGTTATGGATGTTCTCATTATATCATTGACATTGAGTATATGTACCTTCATCTCAACATTCATAACTCGTTCACATACACCAGAAGAGTGTAAACGGGCCTTTTGAAATGAATATCCCACTAGGAAGATGAAACCAACATTCGTAAACATTCGTATGAAAAGATGAAATCGTGGAGTGGGACGCGCAATAAATACATGCATATTAAGAGTCGGCGTCATTTAGAATTATGCCCTGGATGTTAAGGCGATGCACCGAACGATCTTCAACGTAGCGACCATTTGTAATGCAAATCATGACACACGAGATGATTGGTTCGGCGCCACACGGCGAGATATCTGACATCAGGAGAGATCAGGGCCCTCGGAGCAATACTTGCACGTGACGTCATGAAGCTATCGGATTCCTACAGGGGGTATTGTAGGTCGTTCGTAGCGCTGTATTCTTGGGTGTCACTACGGCATTATGCAGTGAATCTGACGGGGGGTGAACCTCAAATGTATTGATGCTTATGCTGTACTGGAGTAAGAAAATGATACGAAATTAAATTCCATGTATTTGCCACCAAACACAAGACTAATACATAAAACGAACAATCGACTCACTGTCTACTGACTCCCCCCGTCACTTCTGTGACGTTATATGAAATCCAATAATTGTTTCAAACAACTTATGGGGCAGGCAGAGCGCATGATCGATCACGTAGCCGACGTCAAATTAGCCCATTCCCGAGAATACGAGAGGGATCTAAGGGATAACGGTTCCTTAATTTAAAGCTTAACACCTATCCTTGCCTTGGCATAAAAACAAGAATTACGATATATCACTCAGCGATATTTTGTGTAATACAATAATGCGATCCTGAACATTGGCATGCTTTCGTTGTAAGGCCTAAGGCTATAAAGGATCCGAGGCAAGAGCAGGTGTAAAAACAACAATTAAGCTGTAAGATTCTAAAAGCTACTATTTGCACTGTGAAAAATGTAAAAACAGAACCAACCAGCTAATAAAGCGCCCATATGCATGGTTGCAAACCAATCTACGCAACAAGTCCTTTAATATGCATGGTAATATGGATGTGTGAGATGGCCAATACTGGCAATAGATACCTGCAAATTTAACTGATCAATATTTTGGTAACAAGTGAACGTACTAACTGTTTTGCATCTTTTAAGGGCCTGTTTATATGGAGGCAAGTTACTCTGCAAGGCGAGTTACTCGGCAATGGGAAGATCCCGGCTATTATAGAAACTTGTAGTAATCTCGGGTGACTTTTTACATGATGCAGCCAAGTAACTTGCCTTGGCGAGTTCCCGGCAGAAAGAGGCAGGATCTCGCCTAGGCGGTATAAATATTTTCCATGTGAACACTTTGCCTGGGTAACTCGGCCGCCCGAGACAGAATGTATGCGCTTTGCATTTGAAATATAATAGCTCAAAAATACATACAAATCGATAGATTAGTCATAAATAGACAACAGGAATGAACAAAATTGACCGTTTTGTGGCGAGAATGGGAACCAAACTGTGAGGGACAGGCAATACAAAATCAAAAGATATCATCGACAAAAGCGAGCTTGACGACTGAGTCTATAAGTGGTAATACATAGTATTACACTACTCAGCTATGCCTTTGGTACAGGAAGTTTATGGTCTATGAATGCAGGAGCCTAATTACACAACTTCAAAACCAAACCATGTCAACCACTTTTTCCATAGCATCAGTGGCATAGTCATTGACAGCCAATGGCGTGAGAATCCTGGGGGGGGAGTCTGGAGACATGCTTCCCGGGAGATCTTTAATTCTATTAAGTCTCCAAGACAGCATTTTCTACATTCTGAAATGCGTTTTGGAAAAAACCAAAACCATATACTGCGCAAAATATGAAAAAGTTAACTGGCAAACATAAAAGCAAGGTAAGTATTTGGTGAAGTAGTCTAATAGCAAAATCATTGTAGAAAGTAGCTGGAACACTTTACCTAATGTATTGCAAGATTTGTAGTATATCAGGTGTGGGCAGGGTGTTAGCCAGGCGTCCGTCCGACGCCACTTCTGAATTCGGACGGCTAAATTTTAATGGACAGCCATGGACAGCCTAAAGGAATATTTTCTTTAAATAGCAATTTACAAGCTTTGTAATATTTCTGGAATACTTCGAATTGTTGTCATCTGCTGTTTACTTTACTTATGGTATATGTTTTCATACTTTTTCCCGTCGAAAACACGTTGAATATGGCTGAATTGAAGTATCGACAAACACACCATGTTTTTTGTAACCATGTTGATGATTCTCGCATGAAGTATCAAGGAGAATAAATTGAAACCGCTGTTTTAAAAAACAGCAATCGCTTTATCGCTTGAGCACCACATGCTCTAGAGTTACAGTTACGGCAAAGATGGCTATAAAATGAGCCAAACGCATAAAAAAAGGGGAAAATATCGGCGATTGATAAAAAATAACTAAACACTACACTGCTGTATTGTGTTCTTCATTATAGCATATACTGTACATCGTAGTGATCATACGGTTCATACCATACATGTGCTTTTACTAACTTAATGATGGAAATGTGCATCTATTAAACTAAAAGTAAAAAGGTTCAACAAATAGAACACCACAATTCCACAACAACAAAAAATTGCGGCCACGCCCAAAAACATGTGACCACGCCCACAAAAAATTGTGGCCACACTCACACAATTATTTTGGACGGCCACTTTTGAAATCCTGGCTAACACCCTGGCAATGTACCCTGATGTGCCCCGCTTTATTATTTTACTGTCTAATGTTGTCATTCTGAATACAACATTAAACTAAGATTTTCATGTCATTGAAGCTGAATGCTTCTTGCTGGCAGAGTTTTTCCAGAACTTAATAGCTGTCTGTAAGGTTATTATAAAAAAGCTTCAATTTATTACAGTATGGTAATCAAGTTCCTTAGCTCTCAATCTTGAGCTGAAATTAAGACCGTGTCGTCATGTTGGCCTCATGGTCGTTTCTAAATCTGACTATTGAGAAAAGCGGGTGGTGGGAGACCAGACACATTCACACATTCTAGAAAACTTCTAGTAATCCGTTGCCAAGTACAGTCAATATGGCCACCTGCCAGAAGGGTCACATTACACATTTATAACAAAAATACTGTACATTGGCTCATGTACTAGTCTAGTTAAATTAAAGGCAATTTGATTTGTTTCAGAACTTAAGGAAATGAATTTCATGTGGTTTCATGCAGTTCTCATTCTATACTAAATTGAATATGCCAAATTTTATGCAGGCACATGAAAAAATTGGCACTTGATCTTTCAACATCATTATTGATTATTATTTTTGAGATACTCAAGATTATCATTGATGGAGAATAAAATAATATCTGCTGCGCAACCATTTCTAATAAATTGATCATTACTGCCATTAAGTTCATTCCTCTAATCCCTAATTGTGTTTGAAAACATCAAATTATTTAAACAGCAGGGAAACTATAAAAAGACAGAGAAAATTAGACTCGAAATCATAATTCATAAGTGGGCAATCTGTTCCCACAAAATTTAGTTGGGTATATATATGTGAACGAATTGTAACCTAAACCTTTCTCTGTTCGCTTTATATCGTAATAAAATCAACACAAGAACGTAGCCTGTTTATAGCCATTTCATAGATATCTTATATATAGCCATATGCGTAAAAATCGCTATTCGGATGTAAACAACATATGTAGAGTCAACAAGAAATATAAAGTATTCAAACCGATGAAACATCCGTTCAATATATACGTTCTGTCAATTAAATCATTCATATTTACCCTTCAATTTGTACAACATGAAATTCTCATAATAATATTCGTATGTTCGACTAGTGGCTACAAAACGGAATGCCCAGTGTTTTGGGAGTAAAAAGCATTTTGCCGGACGGAAATGACTATTCTAACATAACCTCTCGAACTTTTTGCGAATACAAGACTCGAGAAAGACTCTTACATATTTTATCCGAGTTAACCAAGCACATGTTTTTGCTGTGTACTCTGTAATCCGACAAATATTGTAATGTATATTACAGTAAAATGAAGTCGCAAATTACTATAGACGTTGTAATTATGTAGCAATTAACGATGAGATAAGCCTTTTGACTGTTATTAAGAACTGAAACTCAAACTCATTTAGTTTACATTTCGCTTTCCATTTAAATTTTCGCAACGAGCTTACAAATTATAAAATTACCCCTTAAGTTGGAAAAATATTATTGTTAAAATTCAAAGTGAGTATCAATTAGCATTCAGTGAAGTGTAAAAATATGCATCATTATATGAAAGGACACTCTATGCTTTTAATATATTTTGACATTCAACAGATACAAACTTTGCGTCAACTAAATTTTGCTCGTTGAAATGAAAGTAGTAGAAACTCTTGGTTAACCCATATACGGAAACGAAATCTATAAAGTACGTTTATATATAAACGCAATATTGGGAAGAGCAACAAACCTCGATATCCACTTCAGTATGAGAATCATCCAGCATTTCAACAATACATCGAACGAACTTCGTCGGTGCAAGTTTATGCAACAGCGAATGTCCGATGCGTGAATTCCCACCGTTCGTCTCATGTCTCGGAGTTGATACTTTAGCTGCCATTGGGACACTTGTCTCAAGTTAATACAACAGTATTATCGTTGAGGAATAAGTTATTCTACATCGTCAAACACATTTTACCCGTAGAGAACATGATCGCACAACATCACAAAGTTTATGTTGTTTTGCCTTTATTTCCGGTCATGTGACGTCTAGCGTGAAATCGGATCGGCTTCAAAAGGAGTGCCGGCCTCACGCGGCAGGAACTTGTCCGCCACTAATGTTTTTTGGAACGTTAAAAATTCACATTTATCATCCGAATTTGAGTTGTAGTTGATGGAGAAATGTATAGGTAACACTAAAAGGTCCTAAAAAGGAAAGGGGGTTACAAGTCAGTAGGGAAATTAATAAATTATTCTTGAGTGTGGCTGCGTGGGCCGTGGGATTCAAGTGGCAAAGTTGAACATGCAATATCGAAGAAGTTGTTTGTCTTGTTTGAAGGATGTAACTACATATAGAACTATATCAGTATAGGAGAGTAATTCATGTTACATGTTTCAACCAACTGCTTGAGTACATCATAATCGGTGGCATAGGCGTACGGGGCCGCTAAATTCTGGGGGGGGCGGTAGCTTTTTTGCCCAAAAAATTCCACATTGCCCAAAAAATGTCAAAAAATTTAGGGTCAAAAAAATTTTCCGGACAACCAATATTTTTCGGAACATAACACAAATTTTCCAAAAATCACAAAATTTGCCAAAAAATTTACTTAATTTTAGACAAAATTGACAGAATTTGTCCCATTTTTTTTAATTGCAAACCAAAATTGCCCAAAAATTTGCCCAATCTGCCCAAAAAACTGGGATATTGCCCAACTGCCCAAAAAACTGGGGGGGCTACCGCCCCCCCCGCCCCCCCCGCCCCGTACGCCTATGATCGGTGGTCGGTGGATGGTTAACATGCTAAAAGAGCCAAATTATTTTGGTTAACGTTTTTTTTTTAAATGCTAATGTCCTGGACAACAGTGTGCCTGATTAAAATCGATCAGATAAAAAAATAAAGGCGCGACTATCCGAGACCCATAAATGGTTAACTAGTTAAATGGCTTCCTTGTAACCTAATTCATGGTATTTGATAAATGGTATAAGTTCATCAGTTCATGAACTGATTAACGTTTCATAACAATGAATTTTTAGACTCTTTAGCCACAATAACTATTACAGACAAACTCCAAGTCGACCTCTACTGTCTCTATCAAATCACTTCGACAAAGTTTGGTTGTTCCGAAAATTCTATACTCTTTCGTACTACTTCCTCTAAAGTCCCTTCGCCTCTCGATCCGCCCAAACTCAGTTGAAGCAAAATCCGCGATCAGACAATCGGTCTTGAGTCTAAAGCCCCGTTTACACTACGCTCAATTTTTGGTACCGGCACGGATAAAATTGGTACCCGTACCACTTTTTTGGTTCTTGGACTACCTATTTAGGTAGTCCAAGAACCAAAGGGTGGTACGGTACCAAAAATTGAGCGTAGTGTAAATAGGCTTAGCTATTAGCTACTCGGCTTAGCTAAATAGGAAGTCCAAGAACCAAAAAAGTGGTACGGGTACCAATTTTATCCATGCCGGTACCAAAAATTGAGCGTAGTGTAAACGGGGCTTAAATTTGAATCCGCTAAAAGCTCTACTATGAAGTCACAATCCAGGATCCAAACTAAATTGCAAGCTGAATCCACAATCCGAGCCAAAATATTAGATAAATTCGCAAACAGCTGTATTAATAAGATCCGCAAATCCGTGTAAAATATTCGCCAGATCCGAAATCCAAACAATATTTTCTGTGAAATCCGACTATCCGAAAACCTATTCACCCCCCCCCCCCCCCCCCCCCCC